AGAGGGGGGGGGGAGGAGAAGAGAAGGATTGATTCTTTGGTTGGTTGTTGGGAAGGCGAAGAGGCAGTTTGTTGCTGTTCTTGGCTTTCTTCAATATTCAGCTTGCTAGAGCCTCACCTTTGTATTGTTCGCCTTGCTCCCCTGTTATCTCAGTAGGTAAGTTTACCATTGTACCTTTGGCAACCTGCGCCCAAGCTGAGCAGTGTTCCTTTTTGTGCTCACCTCATTCGCCGTAGCCCGCGTGGGTCCCCATTCTCATCCTTGATTCTGCTTTCGTTAGTAGCACGGAGGGTAACGGTTGTAGCTCAGACTCTCTCCTTTCTTTGCACTGTCGTATCAGAGTTCTCTCTCTGCTCGTTCTTTCCTTTCGAAATGGTGTCTTGTGTTCATTCAACCGTTGACTTTGTCTTTTCTCCTCCTCGGCTGTCGTCTTTCTCCGTCCTCCTCCTCTCTCGCACTTCTCTCCCTGTCTCTCGCCTTAATGCTTGAGTGGGTCGATGATGGCAACGATGGGAAAATGAGAAGAAAGGGCTCCACGATAATGACTAGGGCCGGTCTCTTCTATAGCTTTGCCGAATCGGGCGCCTTTGTCAATTGTTAGAGTCGGTATCCGTTTTGAGAAGGGCTATGGTGACATATTGAGCCTTTGATATAAAGAGGGCAGGCAAGGCGCGATGTGAATCTATCTTCCCAGTGCCGGTGCTTTTTAGCTTCTTTCAGGGCCTCTCGACAAACAACGGCAGGTGTTCCTTTCTCTAGCCCAGCGGCCCCCCTCGGCCCCTCTTCACGCACACACACGCACACACGCACACACACACACACACACACACACACAGAGAGAGAGAGAGAGAGAGAGAGAGAGAGAGAGAGAGAGAGAGAGAGAGAGAGAGAGAGAGAGAGAGAGAGAGAGGATACTGATGAGCAGGTAAATGGGACGGAGTTGAGGGAAGGGTAGTGAGGCGAGCAGGACATGATTGCGATTAGCTACAGGCATTACTGGGTTATTTTTTAATTGTAATTAATTGTAATAATGGAGGACTGACTGAATCTTCTCGTTTGGTAGGTCATGCTTATCTTCACAGTGAACGGCCGAGAATGTCTTTTGCCTGTAGGAAGGATCAGCCCCTTACCGTTACTGATACTACGCCGAGGTTTAACGCGGCGCTCGGGTCGAGCATCCTTCTTCGTCAAGGTTATACATATATCGTCAAACAGAACTGCCCGGTAAACCGTAGGCAGAGAGGGAGAGGATAACAAACGAGGGGCTATGACGAACTGTTTCGTTGGAGTTTCACCGACTCATCAAGAGGCTGAACCCTATGTATCGTCAAACAGAGCTGCCCGGTAAACCGTAGGCAGAGAGGATGTAGAGGACAACAAACGAGGGGCTGTGACAAATTGTTTCGTCGGAGTTTCACCGACTCATCAGGAGGATCATGTATAATATATGGTGCTCAACCATCATCCACGTGGCCGGCCTTGTACGTAAAAGGTGATGAACAGGAGCTTTCCTTCTTTCCCTATTCTGTTCTTTTTTTTGTTTGTTTCTTTCGCCGTTTCGCTCCGATACACTATGTGACGTTATATTCTCCGACGTTGCTAGCTCTCTGCTCTTGCAGATGATGCGGCTAGCGTCGGGCCTGTACGAGCAGGCACATATATTCCTTTTGGCAGATTTTACCTTCCTTCCTTTTCTTTTTTCTTTTTTCTTTTTTCTTTTATCTTTTGTCGGCCATTTCTCCTTGATGTGGAATGGCATCTGTATATTGCGGGCCCTCCGTTGTGGTTTCGTTTCTTTTGATTGTATTGGATTGTTGTGACTCCGCATCTGTTGGTAGTGTCGAAAGCTTTATCTGTCCTACAAGTGTGGTTTGGTTTCCTCCTCCTTTTCTTTTCCTCTTTGCCTTTTGGCTGCGTGCAAGTGGGTCCTTGTGACACACGGGGATGAGGGCAGCCGGTGCTCAACCATCATCCACGTGCCCGGCCTTGTACGTAAGAGGTGATGAACAGGCGGAGCTTTCCTTCTTTCCCTTTCCTGTTTTGTTTTTTTGTCGCCTTTGCGCTCCGATACACTGTCACATGAATATCAGAGCGCAAAAGCGGAAAAAACAGAACAAACAAGAAAAAAATAATTCGTTTTCTTTTCTTCTTCCTTACAACTCCCCCTGTTCAGAACCTCTTGCATACAAGGCCGCCCTTCTCCCTCTCTGCCTACGGTTTACCGGGCAGTTCTATTTGACGATATATACTACGACTTGCTTCCTGCTACGGTTTTCTCCGGTCAGGTCGAGCGGCAGTGGTCGGGGCCGTCACTACGCGGCCATGCTGTGCCTCTAGTGCCAGCGGCGTGTCTGGAGTGTATTTTTTGGCTGTGACAGACCTTTCTTTGTTTCGTGGATGTTTTGCTGGCTTGTGATGGGGTGTGAACCGACAGTCTGTAGAGTTTTCCATCTGCTCTGACGAAACAGTTTGTCACAGCCCCTCGTTTGTTGTCCTCTTCTCCCTCTCTGCCTACGGTTTACCGGGCAGTTCTATTTGACGATATATAGAGCGCAAATGCGAAAAAAAGGAAAAATAAAAAGGAAAACAGAAAACCAGGGAAAATTGAGTTCATTTTTTTATCTTCTTCCTTATAACTCCCCCTGTTCAGAACCTCTTGCGTACAAGGCCGCCCACGTGGATGTAGGTTGAGCGGCGGCTGCCCCCACCCCCGTGTGTCATATCGACCCACTTGCACACAGCCAGAAGGCAAATAGGCAAAGAAAAGAGGAAGGAAACAGCCCAAACAAAACGGAACAGGGGGCTGCAAAGCGAATCCTAAATGACATGCCTAGATGACAAGTCCCACATGCAAACACCGCCCCCGACAACTACAGGCCAAACGACGGGACAAGACCAGCCAGGATGTCATAAGACATGGCATAAAAAAGCTCCGATCCACAGTGTGACAACCAAAAAAAGAAGAGAAGACAATCCCGGATGACGATTCTCACATACGAGCACCGCCCCGCGCTCAAAAGGCCGAACAACGGGAAACAACCAACCAGGATGCCAAAAACCCGAATGACTGGTCCCACGTGAAAGCACCGCCACGCCCATGAAATAGCCCGAACAACGGGACCAAACCAACCGGGATACAGACAAGATCAGCAAAACAAATTCTACCATATCGATAGTTAAAAAAACGGAACAAGCATTCTTGTCTGCAAAAAAATCAAAAAGAACCCGAAGGACCGGTATAAAAGACAATCCTGGATGATGATTCCCACATGCAAGCACCGCCCCGCTTTCCAAAACGCCGAACAGCGGGAACAAACAACCAGGATGCCAAAACAATAAAAAAGCCCGGATGACTGGTCCCACATGAAGCACCAGACCGAATAACGGGACAAAACCAACCGGGATGCAGACAAGATTACCACAACAAGAATTACCACAACAAAACAAAATACCCCAACAACGGGGAAAATTACATAAAAAATAAGATGTCATTGACTTTATTTATGGGATGTGTCATTTAATTTGTTTGACTAACAGACCTTCCTTCCCTTGTCCTTTAACGTTTTCGTAAGCACCATAACAAATCTACCATATCCATAGTAAAAAAACGGAACCATACAGTAGGCCCGCAAAACGGAATACCCCAGCAACGGGGAAAATAGTAAAAGAAAAGAAACAAGGAAGGGGGAATGACAAGAACAAATGTAAAAAAAAATTCTACCATAACAAAAGCATAGCCTGCTAGTACAGGCCCGACGCTCGCCGCATCATCTGCAAAAGCAGAGAGCTAGCAACGTCGGAGTATATATAGTGACAAGAATATCAGAGCGCAAATGCGAAAAAAAGGAAAAAAGAAAACCAGGGAAAATTGAGTTCAATTTTTTATCTTCTTCCTTATAACTCCCCCTGTTCAGGACCTCTTGCGTACAAGGCCGCCCACGTGGATGTAGGTTGAGCGGCGGCTGCCCCCACCCCCGTGTGTCATATCGACCCACTTGCACACAGCCAGAAGTCAAAGAGGCAAAGAAAAGAGGAAGGAAACAGCCCAATATATATATATATTTGTGTTCAATCTGTCATCCACGTGGCCGGCCTTGTAAGTAAGAGGTGATGAACAGGCGGAGCTCTCCTTCTTTCATTTTTTTGTTTTGTCTTTTTTCGCCTTTGCGCTCCGATACATGGTGTGACGATATATATTCAGCCTCCCGATGAATCGGTGAAACTCCGACGAGACAGTTCGTCACAGCCCCTCGTTTGTTGTGCTCTTCTCCGTCTCGGCCTAGGGTTTACCGGGCAGCTCTGTTTGACGATATATTGCAGCTGCAATTTGTTCATAGCATGACAACGAACTCCGACGGTTTACCGGGCAGGTCTGTTTGACGATATATTGCATCTGCAGTATGTTCATAACATGACTTCACTATTTTGCCCCCTATCTTTGAAATATGACGTGGGGGTCCGGTCTGGCCAGGCCGCGCATGCTCCCTGGCGGTCTTTTGTTTCCTTTCTAGGTTCTAATTTTTCGTGACCTGGAAAACGGATAATGCATAGCTGCCTGTCTGGTTTCCACTCTCTACTGGTTTTGGCAGTGGATATGTTTATTGTCAAGAATTTTATTTTAACAACTAGTTTGTTTGCATCAAATCTGTGAAGAAGGTTTACGAGGAATTCTAAGCCACCATTGATTGGGTTGCTTTTTTTTTTTTGGATTGCATTATTGATTGATGAAGGTGTGGAGGGTATATAGGAGGGACAAATGCAAGCTGCCTGTCTGGTTTGCACTCTACTGGTTTTGGCAGTTGATGTGTTTATTGTCAATACTTTTATTTTAACTAGTTTGTTTGTTATAACTTATAACTGCATCAAATCTGTAACGAAGGTTTACGAGGAATTCTAAACCGCTATTGATTGGATTGCTTTAGTTTTTTTTTGGATTGTATTATTGATTGATGAAGGTGTGGAGGGGTATAGTAATAAATGAAAGAGGGACAAATGCAAGCTGCGAACAGAAACTTTTCCCTCGCTCGTTTTTAGTCTTCTGTTTTTTTTTTTTTCCCCCGAGTTTTTTTTCTTGTCCGTATTGTTGTTGTTGTTCAACTCCTTGAAATTTGGACCATTTCTCAATGTATTCGTGTCGTCATTGCGCAGCGGCCATTGTAATCTTCTCTGTCTGTTTCCAAATTTTGAACGGATTTCCTGGAGGACAACCTCCTCGTTCTTCCTCGTCTTATCTGTTTGTTCTTGAATTTCGTTTTTTTTTTCTTGTTTTCGTCGTCGTCGTGTTCGGGAGGTGATGGGATTTGTTGAATGTGGGCGAGTGTGGAACAAATGAGTCGACTTAACAGGGAAAGGTATATGGTGGAGAAGGCGCAGCAGAAGGATCTTATACGGGAAAGGGTATAGGCTCCGGTGCGATCGCAATTGCCAGTCTAACCTCTAGTGAAAACTGGAAGATGATTGGAAATGCCAATCAATCAAGCTAGGAGATAGCTGGTTTTCTGCGAAATCTATTCAAATAGGTGTGATCTTCATTGCAAGAGGTAGAGAGCCCTTGATGGGTTAGGATGGCCCAACGCTTGCTGCTGTTCCTCATCCTCCTTTTCCTCGTCTTCCTCGTCCTTGCCGATTATTTATATATCTCGATCTCGGTCACGGCGCCACTTTTGAAATAAACTAAAACCTTGATCCCTCAAGCGCAGTCTCTTCACTTTATTCCTTGCCACCTCCGTTACTCTTGCCATGTTTTACGAAAGGCTTGGAGGGGTCACGACTGTATGTTGGTTGTTTTATATCCCTTGCTGTATGGGACATTGCGAGATGGTCCATGCTCGTAATGGACAAATTTAAAAATAACTCCCTGCAATAATAAGGCTGGCGGAATGGGGTTAGGGGTTGGAGATAGGGGTTAGTGAAGTTTTGAGGTTTTTTATGTGTATCCCCATTTTCATGGAGAGGCTTTTTTAGATTGAGATGTAATCTATCAATCGGGCAGTTGCCAGAGGGATGGATCCGTCTACCCACTCTCTTTCTTTGTGACTGTAACGAAGAATGCTGATAGTGACGATGAGAATTGTGATGGTGTTGACCCCCAAAAGTGGTCTTGGCGAGCACTGCTCATTGATTGATCCGTTCGCGGGTGGGCTGATTGTGGCCGTCGATTGTGGACAGTGATGAATGGGATGGGTCAGACAGAGGGAGGCAGTCTCTTCCAGGGTTGTACCGTCCTTACCGCATATGGGAGTTGTTTGCGACTGTGGTGGTGCGATGAGGACAGCGGTGATGGGCTGGTGGTTCCAGTCACAGAGCGTTTCAATGCATGGTGCAAAACAGGGGTCGATGGAGGGAAACAGGGCTCAATCGCGGGGTCAATGGCGGGAAACAGGATGTCAACAGCGGGAAACAGGGTATCAATGGCGGGAAACAGGGTATCAATGGTGGGGAAACAGTGTCCATGGCGGGAAATAGGGTATCAATGGTGGGGAAACAGTGTCCATGGCGGGAAATAGGGTATCAATGGTGGGAACACAGGGTATCAATGGCGGGAAACAGGGTGTCCATGGCGGCAAACAGGGTGTCCATAGTGATCAGGCGTTGAAAGGATGTTTTAATCGTTGAGGAGAGATGATGTTGAGGATGGGAGGATGGGGTGAGAATCGTTAGGTGGCGACGACGGTGGGGAGTGCAATGGCAATGTGTTTATTTATGAACTCTGCCAACAATGATGAATGGTGTGGGTTAAATGTATGCACGCAGTGGCCCTGCAAGAGGCAGGTAGAAGGACGATTGTGATAGCCAAGGGTTTTCGTAACGACGAGGATTTCTACCTACCTAGAACAGCAGTACATTTAGAAGGATATGCGCGTGACGAGTAACATGTGAAAACACGATTCTGGTGATGATGGTGGCCAGACTGATGGTCAACATGACGATGACGAAGGAGATGATGTGTGAGAGGTAGAACATGAAGACTAGGATCTAAGAAAGTTGCAAAAATGAGGATGACGGGAGGGATGACAACGAGGCATCAAGGGATGAGGAGTAATTGAGGGATACAATAATTGCGGGATAACGAGGATAATACGTGAGGGATGGCAAGACAATATTTGAGGAATGTAGTGTTGAAAGTGATGACGAAATCAGATGATGAAGAGGATGTGGAGTTGCACTCATCTTGTTCCAATTGTCGTGGCTAGCGGTGTAACAGAAATAGGGAGTCGGTTGTGCTGATCAGGGTAACGACTGTGAGAATGATGGACATCCATCCATCCACCCGTCCATCCAATCAGTCAATCAATCATCATTATTCAATCGATCAAGTGATCAACCATACTGCCCATTGATCAATCCATCAATCAATCCATCAATCAATCGATCAATCAATCAATCAATCAATCAATCGATCAACCAATCCCTCCCTCCCTCACTCTATCGATAGATCCGTCAATCAATCTATGAATGGGTAAATTAATCCACTTGGTTAATTGAAATCCGTTTGATCAATGGAATTCATAGACCAGTCCATCAATCAATGAATTCACGGGTGAATCGAACCATCAATTAGCTGGCTGGCCAATGGACCAGATGCGTGTTGCTTGCAACTCAAGTGTCGGGAAATTGAGTACAACGTGTTCTCAGGAAAACCAGCCCAAGGTCCGTTTGCACCAGCTGCACTGTTGTTGAGTGTAACCCCCCTAGCGTGTAGGCCACCCCCAATGTTGATATTTTTTTTCTGAACGCGATGTCTGTTATGCTCCCACCCTGCACCGGCTGTGGTTTATCCCCTCCGGGATTTTGTTTCAGAGTATAACGTGTTCTCAGGAAAACCGGCACAAGGTCCGTTTGCACCAGCTGCACTGTTGTTGGGTGTAAACCCCCTAGCGTGTAGGCCACCCCCAATGTCGATATTTTTTTCTGAACATGATGTCTGTTGCTCCCAGTCCCCTGCACCGGCTCTGGTTTATCCTCTCTGGGATTTTGTTTCAGAGGGCCCCGCGCGCAGGTACCCACGCGTTTCAGCGCTGTGTTTAGGGCTGCATGCGGCCTTAAACATTGCCAGGGTGTTAAGAAACCATGCAGCGGGGTGTTAGAGGAAGAACATGGTGATGTATAAGGAGCTGGAGGAAAGGGTTTAGGGGGAGGGTTACGTGGAGGAGCAGCAAGATGGTGAGGAGAGAGTTGTTTTTCTAGCCTGTGTTATAGATATCTCAGGTATCTGTATCTTGTTTTTTCTTTTTCTTTTCTTTCCTGTTTTAATTATTACATGTGTGTGTGTGTGTGTGTGTGTGTGTGTGTGTGTGTGTGTGTGTGTGTGTG